TGCCGGTGAAGCACTTCATTCCACTGACCTCTCGTAAGACTTCCCCAGAAAAAGAGTTCTTCCAGAACCCAACAACAGCTATTTCCAGATGGATCTGAACTTGCTATATAAAGCAATAATATCTAGAAGATACAAAGGATGGATGGTATTATATATTGCAGTACACAATCTCCCTTTAGAATTGAGGTGCTCTACCTCCAAGCATCCGGGAATTTTGGCTGCTAACAGCTCAATGATTAATGTATTCCAGGAATTGCCTTTGGCTTGCGAATGCTGCTTTACCAGGTTTACATCTCCTCTTTGATAGCGGCCTGTAATCAATAAGTGGTCAGATCACAGTCCAAAGATCTAGCCCCCTTGCCTCAACTGGGTCAGTTCTGAAGAGCCATTCCAGTTCCAAAGCTCCTGCTAGAATCATTTGAGATCTCTGATGCAATACATCATATATTTAATATTTAATATGCATCTACTTCCAAAATATGAGTTTATCAGGTTATAAACTTAGCATATTATATAAAACAAGAGTTAAAATTAAATCAGGCAAAATTATCTAAAATGGAGATTTGTTCATTATTTATAAAAAGTATTTATTCAGGCTATTCTGCAAAAAGGGCACTGGGTTAGGTGCTGTGATCAGTCAGCCACATATTCTGCAGTTAATATGACTATGGTTTGATCCAGAGATAGCATGTGCACAGCTAAGTGTGGTGTAAGAAGAGAAAAAGCCCATACAGTATTCATATCTCTAATAGATATCCGTTTTTTGATTCCAGAACAGCACTATTAGATAGAAAGAGATGTTACTATTCCTATTTTATAGACAATAAATCAAGGTTGAGCAAGGTAAAGTAATACCCAACTAGCAGAAAATTTACTTTTTACCTTAAATCCCTTGGTTTTTTTCTTTTTACTGCATTATGACAAACATTTGTTTGGATGATTTATTTGGAGTTGAGTTAAGGAGAAATATAACGGATGCTGATTTGAGGTAAGAGTATTACCAGTTATCCAAATAGATGAGATAATATCTCAGTGAACATCAAAAAGCCTCTAGAGGACATGGAGTTTTATACCAGCTAACCATTTTGAGAATTTGATTCATCTTGCTTGATATCCCTAATTATCTTTTAAAATGTTTTTGAAATATTCAATGTCCCTGGGTTATGCTAGACACAATTTGTTAAATGTATCTTTCAAGCTTCATAGATTAGAATGATGACTTGGTTATTTGCAGACTCACTCCCTAAGTATTTCCACAATTTTGAAACTGTGACTTCACTGAAGGATGTCTATTTAATAGTAATCAACTCTAAAAACAAAGAACACAGAATTCTCTTTCCAAAATATTGAATTGCAAAATTAGACTTTTGACGAAGACCCTGCAGTGGCAGATGAATCATCAAATGGAGGTTTACCTGACTTCTCAAGAAATAAACAGTATAAAAACAAAGTGGAAAAAAAGAAAGAAAGAAAAGGAGTGGCCGGAGGATTGTCTATTCTGGAGTTAGGCTAAGGAGAAGTATAACTGATGCAATTTGAGGTAAGAGGGAGTTACCAGAAAGTAGCTGACCAGTGGGCCATTATTAACAGTGAGAAGAGATTCGCTTCCCCTTGATATCTGTGGATAGGCTGAGGGTCAGTTCTGGGAGAATCAATGCAAATAGGCAAAAGGGATGCTAAAATTACTGATGAGCAAGACAGACACTGGGCCAGGATCATGGGAAACACCTAAAAGGGGAAACTGATGAGCTGGGAAGTGCACACTGCCATCAAGGAGCCATCTGAGATGTAAAATTGTAGAAACAGAGTGCTTGAAGCATCCTTTTAACTTCTGGTCAGAGATTTGTGGCAAAGCTGTCAATCCTAAAACTGCCTTATCTCAAAGGTGAGGGGAAACCTCTGGTTCCTGAAGTGACAGTGAGGGAAGGAGAAGGAATAGGAACTGAAACAGGGGAATCAAGAAAAGAAGACGAAGAACCAAAAAAGAGTAAAGAATAAAGCCCAGCAAATGCCCCATCATGAAAAGTAGAAGGCAAGATGGACAAAATCAACCTGGTGAATGAAACAGCACATATGGACAACTGTTTCCCTTTTCTCTGCCTTTTTTTTTCTATCTCTGTGTGTGCCTAGGCCACCCGGGATTTATAAAACATGTGTGTGTGTGTTTGTGTGTGTGTCTGTGTGTCTGTGTGTCTGTGTAACTTCATTTTTAGTCTGACATCTTACTAAACTCAATATACAGCTGGCAGCTAGAACCTAGATATGCACTCACCCAGCTTTAAGCATGCAGACAATGCCAGTGCCCCAGAGGAGGGCAGAGCTACCCTTCTATCCTGGGTCCCTGGATGACCTTGGGAAGTAGAGGATGTCTACCTGCCCTATTACTGGCAGATGTTTCACCATTGCCTTTGGAGTCTCTTTGCTACCACCTTTACTCTAGTTAACACGGTAACATACTTATTATTTTTGTGTTTTCCCTGCATATTAGAAAACAAAACAACCTATATCTCAAGGACTAATTGCAAAAAATAGCCACAAGGCAGAACATCATTTAATTAGAACACATGGCAGATGGTGATTGAAAACTTTTTCATTGAAACACTCAAGATGAGGCTGAAAATTTTCAGATAATAATAAAGCTGGTCGATTTCTTACGTGCTATTAACTAAGGAAAACTTAAGAAAGATTTAGACAATAGGATCTGTATCGATGACTGAGTTTTAAAAATCTATTACTACTCCAGAAAAAGCAACTCCAGAAAAGTATATAATTAATAGAATGTTTTAGCCTATGAGGCTGGATGCGGTGGCTCAAGCCTGTAATCCCAGCACTTTGGGAGACCAAGGCAGGTGGATCGCAAGGTCAGGAGTTCGAGATCAGCCTGGCCAATATGGTGAAACCCCGTCTTTACTGAAAATACAAAAATTAGCCAGGCATAGTGGCACACGCCCATAGTCCCAGCTACTCGGGAGGCTGAGGCAGGAGAATCGCTTGAACCCGGGAGGCAGAAGTAGCAGTGAGCTGAGATTGTGCCACTGCACTCCAGCCTGGACAACAGAGCAAGACTCCATCTCAAAAAACAGAATGTTTTAGCCTACTTGATAATCAACTATTCTGGTGTGCATGACTGATAGCTGTGACCATAGCCTGACAAACTTGAACAGCTAGCACTAACTAAATTCTACTAAGATCATGTCCATTACAATTTAATAAGTTTAGAACAATGTTTGCCGATATTTTGCAGTGACTTGAGAAATAATAATGATAATCCTCCATACTACCCAGAAGGTCTGGTCTCTTTCTCCATATATCCTACTAAAAAGTATTAGATGGCTTACAGGATTCACAAGTGTTCCAAAAATAAGTTTCAGGTGCGCAAAACTACTTAATCCCTCAGTCCCCAGATCTGGTCAGTTTGGGCATGAGGTAGCCCAAATCCCAGGGCTGGCCTATCACCCTTGACAGTATGCACCACAGTGATATTAACACATTTTATTTTTTTATTTTTTAATACGAACCATGATATGAAAAGGGTAGGAAGATGCTGACTTAGAGTTTTCTAAACATGTCCCCCAAATTATTCAGTTTTTTTTTTTTTTTTTTTTTGAGACGGAGTCTCGCTCTGTCGCCCAGGCTGGAGTGCAGTGGCGCGATCTCAGCTCACTGCAAGCTCCGCCTCCCGGGTTCACGCCATTCTCCTGCCTCAGCCTCCCGAGTAGCTGGACCTACAGGCGCCTGCCACCTCGCCCGGCTAGTTTTTTGTATTTTTTAGTAGAGACGGGGTATGGAGCTTCTTTAAATGACCATTTTCATTTTCATATTTTATATCTCCACGTCGTCTATCATCCTCAGTGATATACATGTGACCTTATGCTGAATGTTGTCTATTTTTGAAACAAACAAAAATACCAACTGAAAGTTATTGTATTTCCCCCTTTAAGTGGCCTCCTCATCATTACTTCGATTTTCCTTCTTTTCTGCATGGGCCATAATGCAACAGAACAGATCATCCTTTTGACTAAAATTTAAAACTAAAAGCTCTTAACCACTCATTTCCCTTTCAGACAAGCTCACTGGGAACCACGCAAAGGGAGATTTTTGTGTGACTCCTCCTGTGGTCAGAATTCAGTCCCTTTCTTTCACATTCTTCTTATGGTTCAGAGCCTTTTTCTATGAGCTGTGGTTTCTGTTTCTCTCATGGGGCATTTGTTAATCCAGTGTCTGAGGTAGGATGATGTTGTATTTCTGCTAGGCTGTCTTCCAAAGATGAATCTCCTTGGCCTGGGTTACTTTCCTTTTCCATTTATTGAAATGAACCTACACCTCAGACCCTAGGACATAATTATGACAGAAACAGTTTCTAATTACAGCAGTTCACATTTATTCCAGGAAGATGCCTGACTTCAACAACTTTGCTTTACTCACATAAAGCAAAAGCTAAATCCATGCTTTTAGTTGTATAATAAAAAGAATGTCACTGATAAAATGAAGCATCTTCCTTTAATGCCCTGAAGTCTAAATTGAGAATATGTATAAAAGTCTCTGAGGGCTCCTGACCATAAGAAGGAACATTACTCAGTCAATAAGGACCTATTAAATATCTGTTCTACTCCAGTAGTGTCTGAGGGGAAATATGAGGCAGGAAAGCATTATAAATGGGCATTCTGCCTAAGTGATTTCTCATCCACTCTAGGAGAGGGAAACAAAAATCCATCCTACTGTATTTCACTCTCTGGAATCCTAGAATGTCATACCTAGAAAGGAGATCAGAAGTTGTCTAACCTACTCTTCCCATTTGTAGTTTATGAAGCCCCAGTGCAAAGATATTAAATGGTTTATTCTAGGACACCCAAGTAATAAACTCACAACGGGAAAAATAAAAATGAGTAGACAGAGCACAGGAGCCTGCCTCAGATGCAAAAGTTTCGTAACTGTTCCATGCTGTCTCCCCGACTCTCTTGGTCCATTTATGTAACTATAACAGAATAGCTGAGACTGGGTAATTTATAACGAACAGAAATTTATTTCTTATCAGTCTGGAGGCTGGGAAGTCCAAGATCATGATGTCAGCATCTGATGAGGGCTTTCTTCCTGCATCATCCCCTGGCAGAAGGCAGAAAGGCCAAGAGAGGGCAAGGACAAGAGAGAGAGAACATAAAAAAGGGTCAAACTCCTCCTTTTATAACAAACCTACTTTTGCAACAACTGTATTAATTCATTCACTCAGCTTTCATGGCCTGATTACCTCTCATTAGGCCCCACTTCCCAAAACTGTTGCTTTGAGGATTAAGTTTCCAACACATGCTTTTGAGAAGACACATTCAAATCATAGCACTGACTAAAACTGGTACATAAAATTGTAACTTGGTAACTATTTCAGTAATACTTTGGAAATACAATGCTCTAGTAATATTCAGTAATGCAATGCTCAGACTGTTGCCTGTTTTCATTAACCACACTAGAACAGAACAGTTTACTGTGTACGGAATTACACATCCATAGCAGAGCTATGGTTTACCAAGGTTCTCAAGGTGAAAGTGTCAATAACAGTATATGAATTGTTGAACAGTAACTACTAGAACCTCACGGTGTATCTAACTAGCGAGTCTTCTGCATACCAGCATCAGGTAAATTGCTTTATTGCAACTCCTCGTAACAGTCCCTAATAGCCAATACACTGATCCACCACTTAGATATTTCCAATTATCTCATAGTCTATCAGTGTAATCTGGTGAGCTATTATCCTCAAAGTTAGAAAAAAAAGTAAAACTCTACTAGACATTTCTGAGAAAATTGCTGCCAGTAATTTGAATGTGTTGCATTGATTAAGTGAATTGAGCAAAATTGCTCTTCCCTTTTACTTTTCCCTCATCTTTATTCTACTTTTCTATCATTTCTCACCTTTCTCTCTACCTGCCCTTACCCTTAATCAATACCTACTTTGATTCATTAGAAAAGCATTTTTCATTTCCACAGCATTAAACTGTCCACACCTTCAGAGCATTTAATCATTACCTGTTTTTCAAAATGACTTGTATGACCTACACCTAAACACTGCCAGTGAAAATGGTCTAGATCTTCTTTTGTGCCTCCGCTCTCCCCAAACACAGGCTTATCATGGCACTGCTAACATATATTTGTATAATTTATTTAAATGATACTGCAATGGACTATAATATCTTTGAAGGCAAAATGTCATATTCATTTTTGCATCTCCACTTCCTATCATTCCTGGCAAATATGCATGTTTGCAAAATGAATGATAATATCACTCAACTCATCAATAACCTTGAACAACAGTGTTTACTATAATACTTGGGTTTGGAAATGTGAAAGGAAGACAAAAACTAAACAGTCCTTATGGATAGCTAAAAGAGAGGAGAAAGGGAAAAAACATTCTCCTTTGGTTCAGTAGCAGTTTTCCATGGAATAGAAAACATTGCAATCGTTACTCGGATATTATATGTTTCTCTGAATGAAAGTCTTATTTTGTGTTGCATTATTTTCATCATTTGCAGTAAATGTACGCACTTTTAAATGAAGTGTCCTTGTGTTTAATCTTACTGTTCTCTTACCATAATTACCGTATATCCGATAGAAAGGGTTTTTCCTCAGAGCAGATTAGAATCATAGCGGACAGAAGGAATATGGGTGGGAAAGAGAAGATGTTCTGCATAAGAAAGGGTACAAAGTTGCTATAGCAGTTCTTTAAAGAAACTGATAGCTACAAATGGAGAAAAGAAAGAAAGAATAAAGGAGAGAAAAGGGCCAGAAAACTCCATAGGGATAGGGAGCGGAGGCGGAAGGGGGGTGAAGAGGTAGAGAGGAGGAGGGGTAGAGAGGAGGCGGGAGGAGGTGGTGCAGTGACGGGGCATGCACATGTCTATTGCTTCATTTAAGGTTGTTTGCCTTGTTATATTGTAAAGCTCTTCATTTCATCTAATTTACAACACACATACACACAGTTTGGTATATTTCCCTTCATAACATCTACTCATTTCTCTAAGAAATGTTTTGTGTGGATGGAGACACATTTTTTAATTGTTGTTAAGAAAGTGAGGAGGAGACTAAGCTTTCCTAAGTCGAGGTGCTAACGATTAAGCAAAGCTTCTAATGAAATAGGAAAAAGAAACTTAAGAAGCAGTGGAAACCATGAAATATAAGTTCTCCAGCTCTCCCTCCTTCCAGAATTCACAGAACACTAAGTATGGTTTTTGATTTACGCAGGCTATGAATTGAAGTTTCAGGGTTATTTTTACCTAGGACGTAGGCAAGAAGAAAGCCTCAAGAGAAGTGGATTACACATAGTTCCTAAGAAGAAATTCTCTAATATGAACTGAAATACAATTATTAAAAGATGATTCCAGAAAAATATATAGATTTATGCATAGAAATTTTACCAAACTGAACTCAGAACTCTCCTTGACTTTAGATATCCAATCTGTGTTTTCTTTACTTTTAAAGACACTTAGAAAATGCATCGAAGAAAACTTGAAGATGTTTCTGGTTGTTTACAGGAAACTATTTCAAGTGATGAATAACAGAGGCTAGACTTTAATCCCATTTGCGACAAGAACATTTGTTCTGTTTCTTCAATGAGTGATTGTGAAGTGACAGAAAGAAGTGGGAATTAAATCTTAACAAAAGTGACTTTCTCAATTGTGTCTTATGAAGTATAGATTTCCTAGAAGTGGTTTTCATAATGGAACACAATTTTTGACTTCATGGAAATCAAAGTATCACTTTAAATCTCTCAGAACTCTATGGTTCCTGTTGGATATTTCAGACCCTCAAAATTTAATCTGGAAGTTAAACATAACAGCCCATAAAAGAAGTCCTTTATTGTTTGCAAAAAAAAAAATTAAAACTGTCAATTTTATTATTTTGGAAACTTTCTTCATATTGTAAGTGGTGGTCATGGGGGCTAGTTTTAGTTGTAAGCTTAACTAGGCTACGGCACACAGTTACCCAGTGAAACAGGAATCTAGACATTGTTTCAAAAAGGTGTTTTGTAGATATGTCTAACATCTACAATCAGTTTAAATAAAGGAGATCATCCTCAATAATGTGGGTGAGCCTTAGTCATCCAATCAGTTGAAAGTCCATACCAGCAACATTGAGGTTACCCTCAGGAAGAAGAAATTCATGCTGAAGACTGCAGCATCAGCTTCTGCCTGAGAGTTTGCAGTGTGCTTGCTTGTCCTACAGATTCAGACTTGCAAACCCCCACAATCACAGGAGTGAAGTCCTTGAATATATTTATTTCATAAATAAATATACATGTAACCATACATATATAATCATATATATTATATAATGTTTGTATCCTAATAGTTCTGTTTGTATGGAGAACTCTGATACAGTGGACAAATACTATTAACAATAGGCTTGCATAATACTAACAAGAACAGATGTGAGAGAGATGGTTATCCTAGCAAACTAATTTAATTGTTAAGTTTTTTAGATAACAGACATATAAAAATATATTCTTGAGCTAAGAAAATAAATAAAAGCCAATTAAAACATGAAGTCAAGCAATATGAAAAGATAATTTGATTACTACCCAGCCTACATCTTAGGATTGTATGGAACAATAATCATCTTGGAGAAAAATATGCTACTTCATATTGAAGGGGTGGCCTGCCCCTCCACACCTGTGGGTGTTTCTCGTTAGGTGGAACGAGAGACTTGAGAAAAGAAATAAGACACAGAGACAAAGTATAGAGAAAGAAAAGCGGGGGCCCAGGGGACCGGCGCTCAGCTTACAGAGGACCCACGCCAGCACCGGCCTCTGAGATCCCTTAGTATTTATAGATAATTATCTTTACCATCTTAAAGATAAGGGAGTGGCAGGACAATAGGATCGTTTTTAGGGAGGAAATTAGCAGTAAGACATAAGAACAAGGATCTCTGTGACATTAATAAGTTTAAAGGAAAATCCTGTGCCTTGAGATAAACCTTTTAGCAACATTGTTTCATCCTATCACATGGGGATAAACCTTGGACAATACCTAGCTTTTCTAGGAACAAAGACACACCCTGCACGCCCAAAATCCATTAAACCTTGAGTTACCACAGCACGTGTCTCTTGCAAGGACAAGGTTGGGGGTAGGGTCACAGATTAACAGCATCTCAAATACAGAACAAAATGGAGTCTCTTATGTCTACTTCTTTCTATATAGACACAGTAACAGGCTGATCTCTTTCTTTTCCCCACACATATAGTAATAAAATACGTGTCTTACTTCCCTCCTCCCCCCCCAAATTACAATCTTCTAGAAGGCAAAGAACAGATCTTCATTTTAGGATGTCTTACTCACGGTAAGTACACGATAAATGGTTGCTAGATTTAAAAAATGAATAAATTTGTATCCTGAGTGTTATTCAACACCTATTGACTAGATGCCTCCTATGTTCCAGCACTGTGCTAAGTTTTGGGAGCAAAGTGGTACACACATTAAGTCCTCCCCTCATGGAATTGTGCTGTGGCTTACCTGACCTAGTGACTGACACAGGTGCCTAGGGATGGCATTGCCCAGGTATCATTAAAAGGCTGCTGCTGCCTTTAGCAATTCTCTGCAAATCTGGTATGCTAAGTTCAAACAGAAAATGGGTAAAGGGTGTGATGAAGTGATCTTTTCTTAATCAAGGCTACTGCTGAGTCCAATGATGAGAATCAGGCAGAGCATCTCTTTTACATATAGGTAACATAACTGCAACAATAAATAAACATTTATAGAAAAGTCAAAAAAGAGAAAAAAAAGATTATCCTGATTTATGTCAAACTCAGAAATTAGCAGTTTATTTCCAAGAACATTTAGTTTGCCTTCTTAACTATTATCTACTTAAACCATTTTGTAGAGACAATATGGAGATAACATGGCCAGAGTTGTCAGACAGACCCAAGCCTAAAGCCCAGCATCACCACCAGCTATGTGACTTTGGACAAGTTGCTTCACATATCTGAACCTCAGCATTACCAACTATAAAATGAGAACAATACCTTACTTCCAGCCTGCATATGTATGTGTGTGTGATCGTGCGACAAAGTACTGTAAGTAAACCTAGCAGCTCAATGCCTAGCATTTGGAAAGTTAACAAAA